TTGAGCTGTAAAGTCTTGGAGCCGATGTCCCATGTCAGTAAGACTGAGGCTGATGGATAGTTTTTGTCTTCCGTTTTAGATAAACCTGCCTAGTAAGAATCTCTACCACAAAAAAAAGGAAATGCATGAATTATCATTTAAAGGTGGTGTATATTTTACAGACTTCTCCCTCTACCAAGTTTCTGCGCTCTGTGATTTTTATCTCCCGATGCCCACTGCGTGGCAAGCTGCTTTCAGAGACACCGTAGTGGGGAAAAGTGAGAAAATGCATGAGAAAGACCTGACGACGAGCTGCAGGAGGCCTGCCCCCCCACCAGTGGCGGCGCGCGAAAGTGTGCTGGCTGCGGCTTGGAGAAGCTCCAGTTCTTTTCCATTAATAAGCACTTTTTCCTTAAGGTTATGAGTATCTGCAGGCTTAAGGTAAATAGATGTGGTATCATTCATCAGCTTATGTCTGAGTGTCTTGGGGGGGGGGGGGGGGGTAAAGCTTCTCATGTCCTCTTTAAGCAGTAAGTATTAATGATGCATTAAGAAACAATAGTACCAAATTTCTTGAACAAATTACTGCCTGAGGCAGAGTAAAATGACCGACTTGTGCTGCAAACAGGGTCACATGACTAAACCAATTAATTTATTGCACGTTCTGTTTACATTTGCACAATCTTTCCCCACCAATTAGGTTCTAAACTGTATTTCTTGTCTATGTCTTAATGCCCATGTTTTTAAATGTCAGTGTATATGTCTCAGTATTATATTTATTCCATTCTCATTTGCACTATGATCAATGACATTTCAGCTCAGTAAAAGATACTTTGACTTTGCATTTCATGATAGGTCACTGTGGTGGAGCTGGAACGAGCCAATCAGGAAGCTCGTGAGACTCCAACAGAACATTCATTCTGTTCATAGGCGCAGGCCTTTCTCAATACTGAACAGGGTCTCTTGTGCCATCGGTGCCGCTGTGGTTCGCATGTTAATAGTGGTGCTCGCATCGACCCGGGATCAGTCGGGACTGAACATGTGGTCGCTGGAGTAATTCTGTGCCTCTGTTAGAAGTAGACACTCGGAGAGTGGATTTGCCAATAGCTTTTGAACGAAGAGTACAGCGGGGGTACAAAGGGGGGCCGTCTCAAGTGCCTGTAGTGTTTGGGGTCAAACAGGGTCTAGTAGGTCTGTACCAGTAAGAGCTGATGGGCTGATAGTCGGCCCCCGTGTGGGTCTTGCACTGGGGCCGGGTTGACAGGAGATGTTTACTCCTCTGAGCAAGGTGGCTACTCGGAGCAGAGCTCTATTATCTGTTGTGAAGCCGTCTCAGATCTTGCCCTTCCCCAGCTCCGGATGAGCTCCTGCGTTTGGGTCGGTCCACGCTGCCCAGATGTCTGCAGGTGTGATTCCGGTGCCGTCAAGCTGCCAGCTTGCCTCCCTTCGGTCACGATTTGTGAGGTGGGGGTGCCGTGTAAGGTCTCCTTCACTACTGAGGTCGCCTCTGCTCCGTGACCACAGTTGATAGACTCGGCCCTATTTCCTCCTGGTGATGAGAGGGAAGTGAGTAAATGTTGGAGTCTTGAGGATGAGATTGTGGGCTCCTACAAACAGCCTTCTGACTGGTTTTATGGAGCAGTCGGATTTGTAGCTGGAAATGCCAGACCTTTACGTTGGCGGCTTCTAAACATCACTTCTGTGTGTATATTCATAAGATACTCATTTGAAAAGACGCTTCACATTTGTCAGCAATTAATTTACCTTGTTTTTCCCACACTGCGCTGTGTGATGGCTGGAACCCTAATTAAATGGCATAAATTTGAAATAATCACTTGTGTTGAAGGGCATTTTAAACTCTATGTCTGACCAAAATTTGCGTTAAACTCAGGTTCCCTGAGTGTTACAGGGAACCCCACGGGATGAGTATTACTCATTAGCATTCGGGGGATGTGTGGACCAGCAGGAAGTTCTCCACTCTGAGGTTTGTCTCGTCAGGATGTGGCGGTGCAATAGGGGGGGGTGCGG